TGAGACCAGAGTCTCGCTGTTGCCAGGCTATAGTGAGTGCCGTGGCGTCAGCCTAGCGCTCACAGCAACCTCAAACTCCTGGGCTCAAAGTAATCCTTCTGCTCAGCCTCCCGAGTAGCTGGGACTACAGGCATGTGCCACCATGCCCGGCTAATTTTATATATATATATTAGTTGGCCAATTAATTTCTTTCTATTTATAGTAGAGACGGTCTTGCTCTTGCTCAGGCTGGTTTCGAACTCCTGACCTCGAGCAATCCGCCCGCCTCGGCCTCCCAGAGGCTAGGATTACAGGCAGTGAGCCACCGCCTGGCTAAATAGAATTTAAAAGTATGGCTTTGGCTGGGCGCTGTGGCTAGCTCCCAGCACTTTGGGAGGCCAAGGCAGGAGGATTGCTTGAGGCCAGGAATTCAATATCAGCCTGGACAACATAGCAAGACCCCATTCTCTACAAAAAACAAAAAACTTAGCTGGGTATGGTGACCACACCACCTATAGTCCCAGCTACTCAGGAAGGCTGAAGTGGGAGGATCCCTTAAGCCCAAGACTTTTGAGGTTACAGTGAGCTATGATTGTGCCACAGCACTCCAGTATGGGAGACAGAGCGAGACCTCATCTTTTAAAAAAAAAAGTATGCCTTTGATATGTATCAATAATTACTGCTTGTTTAATTGATGAACAGGAGTGTAATTATATCCAAATAGACCACAAACAATATAACATGATATTTCAGTAATTTAGCATTGTTGAAAATGTTTATATATGAGATATTATGCAGCAGGAGCTATGGATATAATCTTGTTTGGAAGTACATTTTAGGAATAAAATATCGCACATGGTCCTAGGGTGTAGGCAGGGTTTAGTTCCACTGCTGAGAGGAATTGTCTCCTAGTTGGGTACTTCTGAAGTGCCACTTCACAGCTCACAGATCCACAAACACGGTGGACATTATTGGCAGTGCTAGTAGCTTAGATGCTCTCTTCTCTGCCTGTTAGGTGTCTGTGATAGGTATGTCAGAAAGACCACATGCGTCGTTTCTCTGGCTTGCTCAGAACTGCTATTGATTCAAAGAGAAGAAAGGTAAGCCTACTAATATTAAAGGATCAAGATGATAGCTCTCAGTAACTATTTTCTTCATGTAATTTCAGTCTTTCTCTTACTACAAACAAAGAAGGTAATATCCTTTAAAAATAAATAATAGAAAACTATACATAATTAACTACTTTAATGCTTCTTTTTCAACCATTTGTCCCATGATTGTCTGGTTTCCAAACTCACTAAAGCATCTTATAGGGGTAAGTTCCAAGTAGTAGCATGGAGGCAGCATGATAGGCCACAAGTGCAGTGGAAAAAAGCAATGCATCAAGAGTTACATAATGTTGCCCATCCTTAGGCTTCCAGCTACCTGTGTGACCTTAGGCAAAGCTGGGGCTCTAGGACCAGAGGACCTGTAAGCTCCTCTTCCGATATGAAAACGGCATATTTCTACGTGCAATTTTATACTGTGAACTTGTATACAAATAATTCGGCCGTAACTGTAAGATTATCACTCAAGTTGTAGGTGAATGGTACAGAAAATATTACAGAACTATTTTTCTTTTCCCTTCTGACAAAAATTATGCAAATTTCTTCTCCTATTACATTTTCACCTCTGAGCTTCTCATCACTTTCAAACCTCTTGCTCCTTTAAACTAGTAATCAATAATCATGTCAGAAACATCTTCGAATATCTAGTAGCCAGAACACTGTTCTAAGTTTTACACACGTAAAATTTAATGCTAGCAACAAACCTGCTAGTAATTTCTCCATATTGGAAATGAAGAAATTGAAGAGAAAAAAAAGTTACATGATTTGCTCAAAGTCACAGCCTAGTCAAACCAAAATAGAGCCAGCATTTGTTCCCAGGCAATCTGAACTCAGGAGCCCGCAGGGTAAGAAAATAAGAATAACCTATTAATAAAATAAAATAATAAAAAAAAAAATAAAGTTCTATTTAGTTATGCATATTAATGGCTATAAGTTTGTAAGGTACAACATATATGTTAACAAAGACACAATCATTAGTGTACCATTCAATGAATTATCACAAAGTGAGCACATACATGTAATCACCACCCAGAAGAAATAGAACCTTCCCATACCATACCCCAGAAACTCCCATGAACCTACTTAGTCTTATCCTCCACCCCTATGTCCCCTCAGCCATAGCAAAGGTAATCATTATATCAACCCTCTAGTCATTGATTAGTATTTGCTGGGTTTTGAACATTATGTAAATAGTATTATACAATACATACTCTCTTGTGACTGGCTTCATTCACTCAGCATTATGTTTATGAGCCTCATAAACATATAAAAATTAATGTAGCAATGAAAATGAATGAACTACAGTTATTTATACAGTTATTTTAAACTATAGTTCATTCATTTCATTTCTATATAGGATCCCATTGTATAACTATACCACTTTATCCATTCTGTTGTTAGTAGACATTTATTTATTTATTTATTTATTTTTGAGACAGAATCTTACTTTGTTGCCCAGGCTAGAGTGAGTGCCGTGGCGTCAGCCTAGCTCACAGCAACCTCAAACTCCTGGGCTCAAGCAATCCTACTGCCTCAGCCTTCCAACTAGCTGGGACTACAGGCATGCGCCACCATGCCCGGCTAATTTTTTCTATATTTATTAGTTGGGCAATTAATTTCTTTCTATTTATAGTAGAGAAGAGGTCTCGCTCTTGCTCAGGCTGGTTTCGAACTCCTGACCTTGAGCAATCCGCCCACCTCGGCCTTAACACTGCATTATTCCCTGTCTTAATTTCCTTTCTGCAGCACTGGTTTTTTTTTCTGCAGGAAAAGTTAATTTAGGGAAATAGAAATAGGTTTATAAAAAGTCTGACTGCGTTTTAACAGATTAAGTTTAGCTTTGCTATTGTAATGATGCTAGATTATTACAAAATAATGTTTCTCAGAAGTATTTTCCAAATAGATGTGCCAAAATATACAAATTAAACTTTGCTTCAAATATAGATGTCTATATTTACGTGTTTATATGATGTATTACTGTGAATTATCTTTATAATTGAACTTCTCTGTTATGTTGCATTATACCTGAAGTTATTTAATCAGCAACATATGATATCTTTGTAACTTAAACTTTTCCTTAATTATAGGAAAAGTTATTGATGTGGATCATGGAATTATTTGTGAAAATGTTCCCATAATTACACCAGCGGGAGAAGTGGTGGCTTCCAGGCTAAACTTCAAAGTAAGATGATATTCAAGAATCTTCTGATTGTTGCCATCACATTAATACAAAACAACTCAGAATTCATGTACCTTATGTTAAATACTTGGAGGAGCATATGGAAAGGAGGGGAAATCAAGAAAGGTATGCACAGTGGCTCAATTACAGAAGCAGTTACTTCCTCAGAAAGCAGAGAGAAAAGAGAAATTTGATTTCTACTGCTTTATTGCCAGGTTGAAAATCAAAATTACAGTGCAGTAAGAGCCTGTACAAGATAACTTTGGGGAACATTAGGAATATACTCTGACATTAATATCTGGAAATAAATTTTAATTTTTTCCTTATAGAAATTACTAAAAAAATACAGGCTTTACTGTTTTTTAGTAAAAACATATTTACTAAAATATGAGGGTAGAGGTAACTAGCAAAGTTTAATTCTGTTAATAAACATTCTCTCTAACTTTAATTTCTATTTTAAATAATTATGTTTACTATTATGAAAAAATAATCAGAAGATTCATGGATTGGAATTTAAGTTTTTAATTATGTTGAGAATAAATAATTTGTTATTTAATACCCTATGCCTTGATTACAAAAACTAATAAGTAAAAATATCTAATAAACTTGAGTCCCTGATTTAAATTATTATAAAATTCAAAATTCCATTTTCAAGTACAAAATAATTTGCCGGTAAGCATTAAAAACTATAATGAAGGCAGTTGAGCTTAGTTCAAAGAAAGACGTGATTGGACTTGATAATAGAATTACAAACATGACAATACATGTGCTAATGATTTTAATATGGACCTAGTTAAGCTTTAATTATTAAAGATGTATTTGCGAATAAATAGAGTTGCTAGAAGTTGAAAGAAGAGCATAAGAGGCACTGAACAAGGGAAAATTCTGGGTTAGTAAATTTAAGAGAAATTGTGTCTTAACTACAATTTTGTCAGACTTTATTCTTCCATTTATAGACCTATAGAATGGTTTTAACTGTTAGGATCTTACCACAAATACCAATTAGGTACTCATGGCATACATAGGATATTTAACTGTTCATTAATAGTTTAATGATTTATAATTTATGACTTTTGTGTAGAGGTGGCTTTTTTGGTCAGACTAGGTTTTGTAATATCAATTCCTGTTGCTCCATTTGTTAAATAAACATAGAGTATAAGTCTTGAATTCTGCTGACAAATTATATTGTTGTAGGCACATCACAATTTTTCTGTGGAAAAATTTAGAGTTTAGTTTCTTTCATATAAATGCACTAAAAATACTTAATCTAGTGAAAGTATCTTATACAATTAGAAGGTCTAAAAGATATATGTGATTACTATATATATTATATATGTATATTTTTGTAGAATGGGAACTCATGAAATTTAACAATTTAAATTTAAGTGATAAATAAGATAGAAGATAAAGGGAAGCATCCAATAGATAATGGATAATCTTTGTTTTACTGATGAATATTATTTGTATAATATTCATATGTATTATGTACAATATTCTATTTGTGTGTGTGTGTGTGTTTTAATTCATCCCTAGACGTAAGACTAAATTACAGTCTTCCTACTTTCCTTGGTTTTGGTTTGGTAAACATATTTTCTGCATCTATGAATAAAGTAGAATTAGAATCATCTTCTCTCTCTGATGGGCTTTTGTAATTTCTGTAGCATTTCAGACTGCTGAGGTACAAAATTAAACAACCCATCTGGCTCTTTGGATAACTGTGCTTTGTAGCCAATAACTCCAGTTGACTTTCAGTTGTCTTTGAATTCAATATAAGTTTAATTATTATTAATATGAATAAAATACAATTTAATATATTTTAATTTTAATTGTTATGGTCTTATGTCCCACATAGTTGTATTTCTCCATCTGTGTGTATTATCTAATAACAAGACCTAAATTAAAATTTTGGAAAGCCAGTGATCATGCCAAGAAGATACATTTTTTTGGAACTGAATTATCTTATGATGCTTTTAGCTTCAGAGAATAATCAAAAGCCAAACTTGATGTTCTAAACCCTGATTTATTTTTCTTTGATTTCTTGCCCATCCTAGGTTATCATGCATTTTGAAAGTTTTTTTAAAAAAATAAATGACTTTTAAATGCTGCCAAAAGAAATAATAAAATATTGCAGTTTGTAATTTTACTTCTTACTTTAGGTACAAGAAGGAATGCATCTTTTGATAACTGGTCCCAATGGTTGTGGGAAAAGTTCTCTCTTCAGAATTTTAAGTGGGCTCTGGCCTGTGTATGAAGGAGTCCTCTATAAACCACCTCCTCAACATATGTTCTATATTCCACAAAGGTAGGTGAATTTTTGTATACCACAGGAAACAATTTCCTTTTTGCTCTTGAATTATTTTGATTCCTCAAGCTCTTCAGTTTATATATCTTTAAGGATGTTTTCATTGAGAAAAGCTAAAGAAATAAAAATTCAATTATCCCCAAAGGTTCTATTACTGCTTTGATTATAAATTGTGTCTAGGACAATACCACTTCTTTTCATTTTCACATCTGTCTGGATGTAATGTATACACAAAAACTGAACATATTAGTCTCAAGGAATAGCAAGCAGGCTGTTCCAAAGAATAATTAGATTACCTGAGGTGTCAGATGATCTGTTCTTATAGAAAAAATACTATTTGGATAGCATACAGCTTTCTCCATCAAGCTGCATATATATTCATATATTCTAAAATTGTTCATATATGATTAAGATCCTCTGTAAAAAATAATCTTTATTATTAATACAATTATGCTATAGGATTAATTCACGATTTGCAGCTACCTTAATGAAAACTGTTTTACTGTGACAGTGAGTATCATGTAAGCATAGAAAAAGAACATTATTCCATCTGAAAGTCTTTAGCTGTCTTCCCTCATAACAATTTAGAAATGTCTCCACACAAAGTTATACACTTGAGAATTTGGAATACTCATTGTGGAGGAGAGAAAATAAAGTCTGAAGAAGAGACACTCCTCATGTGCATCTAGCCCAGTAATTTTTCCATCTGTCATCAGATGGGTTAAGTAGACACCACACAGAGTACTTCCACTGTGCCAGAGGACCGTTCTGTGGACTCGAACAAGCACCTAGGCTGGAAATTCAGCACCAGAGCAAATATAGAAGTTATATTGAGTATGGTGTTATCATTTGTCTCTTTCACCCCTTTTCCTTTCTTAGAAAGTGCCTGTACCATATTGCCCTCTGATCTCATTTTTAGACCATATTTAGTAGTTAGAAAGAGGAGATTTGGGTTTTTGTTTGTTTTTTTGTTTGTTTGTTTTTAGTTAAAGTGAGACGTATGATAACAGTAGAAAGCTGCCTGGAGTGTAGGATTGTATTGGCTGTATTGAACTGTATTGGCTAAGAATGTTGGACGTGAGCAGTGGGATAGATATTCATGTTCGACACAGGTAGTATCTTGTGACACCAGAAGCATTTTTTCTTTCTGGCAATGCTTTAGAGTCCTTTGTGAAAACTTCTGATTTTAAAAGCTAAATTATACTGTCAAAAGTTTATATTTCAGACATTAATATGTTTTGTAGGCAGATTTTAATTTTTTATTTAGGTTAGAAGTCATAGAATCATGAAGAAAATATGCCGTTATATCATATAATTAAATTCTCTTAATGCAAATAAGAACCCATAAATCAATTTTATATTTTTAGCTACAGTTGTTGAATACAGCTTTAACCTGAGGACATAAGACATTTCCAGAACATAAGAAAGTGAAGAAATTCTAGTCTTTGCCTGCTGAGAGACCTAACTACATTATTTTGCAACAAATATAAATCATTGGGAAAGTTTTTCTTAGTTATGAAATTTACTGTTGCCTAAGCAGAAAGATCAACTACAATCTAGTTAAGGATAAAAATAAGAATGAGAAGTCTAATTTTTAAGGCTAAACATGTGTTCTAATAATTATAGTTAAAAGTCATTTTAGGCCGGGCGCTGTGGCTCACGCCTGTAATCCTAGCTCTTGGGAGGCCGAGGCGGGCGGATTGCTCAAGGTCAGGAGTTCGAAACCAGCCTGAGCAAGAGCGAGACCCCGTCTCTACTATAAATAGAAAGAAATTAATTGGCCAACTGATATATATATATAAAAAATTAGCCGGGCATGATGGCGCATGCCTGTAGTCCCAGCTACCCGGGAGGCTGAGGCAGAAGGATCACTCGAGCCCAGGAGTTTGAGGTTGCTGTGAGCTAGGCTGACTCCACGGCACTCACTCTAGCCTGGGCAACAAAGCGAGACTCTGTCTCAAAAAAAAAAAAAAAAAAAAAAAAAGTCATTTTACTTTGATAATATGGCTTAGAAACATGAAAATTTGTATGGACATTTAAAGTTTTTTAGAACTGTTATCCTTACAAAAAGCATTTATTTAAATGCATAAGTAAACTAAGAATCTAAATGTAGTATTTATTTTTTACAGTCTAAAAGCTGCTGATTTTTAAAGTAAATTTGAAAATAATATTCTACATATTTATGAGTTAAAAGAAAGCTACTATACAACCTATTTCAAACTATTTGTCAGTATGTAGTATTAAACATTTCTTCTTAGGATATTCTCATTAATGAATGTCATAATCTAATATTTTATTGCATTAATATATATAAATAGAATATAGGTTAACTACATTTGCAGCAAAAACATGAAAATTCAATATGGAGTTGAGACTTATGTATGAACTTTATAAGTCATAAAAACAGGCTTTTATAATAATTCCCCTGTATTCACTTTTTGTTATTGAGAGACTTGTTGGTAGAAGATGGATCTCTTTATGGATTGATCAAATGTACATTAATTGTTACTTTCATGGGGAAAAATAGAGTAAGTTTTATGAAAATGGGTTGATAATAATGGCATGTAGTGTGCAGAAGAAAAAAGGAAAGAATGTCTTCCAATCAATTATATTAGGCCACGTATTTTTTAACTAAGTCTTCACAAAGAATGCTACTATGCCTTGCTCAGTTTGCAAGCTGGGAAACCTGAATTCCTAAGAAATTGTGAAATTACCTCAATGTTTTCCAGTTAATGTCTTCTACTACTTTAGCAAAGTTAAATAATGAGCATTAGATAAAAGAAAATCTGGGCCTTAGTTCAAGAATATAGATAAGAAGTTTTGCTAGACAAATTAGTTTCAAAACAACTTCTCCTCGTTCCATCTTCATTAATGATGAGATATGATGACGACTGAAGCCTTTGATAAATTTTAGGAAAAACATATTTTTTCTAAAATGTAGATTAGCCACTCTAAATCTATGGAATGGTGCATGGTAAAATGCTTACTTTTGCTCAGGTAGTACTTTAAAAAATATTTTGGCAATTTTAGGCTAAGACTGAATTTCCTGAGTAATATGACTATATTCCTTAAACTGATGGTTGAAATTCATTGCTCCCTGCTGTATTAGCCATCCTGACCCTCAGAAAGTGTTTTCCACTTGGATACAGACCCTCAATTTCTTTTGTTAACTCGTACTGCAGTTTCTCCATTTTCCCAAGTCCCTAAGGATAGACTGGTGATTCCTTGCTCTTGATTTCATAAAACCACGAATTTATGACCCATTTAGTTGCTTACTGATCCCCTGGTGAGGTTCTGTCTTCAGCAACTAAAGCCCCAAAACCCAGCCTTTCATTTATTTAGTTAGTTCACATGCTAACAAAATATATTATGCTAACTGTCACCAAGATAATAAATTGAAATATTTGGTGGCATTTGGGGGAACAGAAAGAGTGAGAGAGAGCAAGGAAGGGAGGGAGGAAGAAAGGAAGACAAGATATCAGGTGTTTACTGACAAACGGTAGCAAAATCTTGCTTTCCTTTATACTATTTTTTTAGAAAATCCACCAGAGGATCATTTGTATACATCACATTACAGTTGGCCCTCCATATTGGCAGGTTCAACATCCTTGGATTCAACCAACCATGGGTCTAACATATTTGGAAAAAAAAAAAGATATAAAATAATTCAACAAGAAAAGATAACAAAAATAAAAAAACAATACAGTACAATAACTATTTACATAGCATTTACATTGTATTATGTATTATAAGTAATCTAGAGATGATTTAAGGTATACAGGGGGATGTGCATCTGTTATATGCAAATACTATGACCATTTTATATAAAAGACTTGAGTATCTGTGGAATTTTGGTATCTGTGGGGTCCTGGAACCAATCCCCTGTGAATACCTAGATATTACTGTATATCTACTCTGGCACAGTCTGCAGTTGGGGACCAACCCACTATATAATGCTGTTCCTAACACTACTGCTCTCACTACCTACCTTCCTTGGCTGAAATATCTCAGGTCAGCAATTTTAATCGTGATCTTCTTACTGTTCAAATCAACTGTACATGCCAAAATACTAAGGCCAAGACCTGGAATAGATTCAGATGTCCCAGGATTGTGTATGCAAAAATAAAGCGTACAAACTTTTGTCCATCCATGACTTTGGAGTCTGAGAAGTTTTGGTTAGAAAGTGAAAGGAGAGTGTATTATAAGGATGTTATTGAATCTGAACAAACATCTCTTTGAAAAAAGAAAAGGAAAGGAAAAACGGGGAAGAAATGGCTGGAATATTGTACTTTATATCTTAGAGAAATTATTGTTCTTCCCCCCGCCCCCAAGTTATCCAGTGTTTATTAAAGCCCTGCCATAAGATACTATAGAGAATAGACCATGACTAAAACACAGTCTCTCTCATTATGGTGCTTATGTCTCATTTAATTATAAACAAAAATATGCAACTAACTGAAATAAAAGCCAGAGTAAGTGCCTCAAGGAAGGCAAGAAATGCTATGAATATTCAAACTGAGGAAAAATATTAATAGAACAATGTGGCATTTGGCCTGGGTTTCAAAAGTAACTTAGGATTATAACAGTTGTCATGAATTGCATCAGTTTCTCCAGTGTGTAAATAGGTCAGAAATGCCACAGATTAAAGTAAGCAAAAAGTTTTGTTTTTTGAACACTGTTTGGATAGCATCCTATGCTATCCCACACTCCCCTAATACACCGAGCTGAGAAAAACAAATATTTATCAGACTCATCTCCACTAATATGTCAACAGTACATGCTGGAAATAATAGTGCCCATTGTCTGGGTTCTCAAGAGTTGCTAAAGTGTTCCTTTTAGCTGGAGTTCTTTGACTGTTTTTAAAAAGTTCACTAGTGTTTTGGATGTTTGCCATTTCTCAGTCTTCAGTTAAGGAGCTCATCTGTCTATGAGTAAATGACACAGTCTTACATGTTAAAATTTTACTTACTGTTAATGCTTCTTTTTTTATTTTTTTGAGA